TTCACATAATTGACTATATAACAGCTTAGTTGTGTAATACATTCGTTTATATTAAATTTTATCACCTGAAATTTTACATTAAAACTCATATACCTAATATCTAAAAAAACATATATGGCACACGAAAAAAAGGTCAGCTTCCACGTGCTCATTTCCTCGATTGCGCGAAAGCCGATTTCGTCAAGAGAAGCATGAAACAAAAAAAATCTCTTGACCTGACCAAAGACCTAAAGTTTCGAGAATTCCAGAAAAACAAATTCCAATTCACAACACTTTATACGAGATACGTCTTATATTCCACACTTTCGATTAACAAATAAAAAATGAAAAAGAACTAGTCTAGAAAATGGTCAAACTATTTTTATTTCATCATAACATGAAAGACAGAAAAAAAAGAAAAAAAAACTACTTATGGCAATAACAACGTCCCTCCCACCTTTGTTCCATCAATTCCAACGTGTGTTTTTGACGTATAATCATCACCCAGAATTTGACATCTGTTGATCGAAACAAGACACCCGAAAGATCGAGGGGCGTGTGCGTAATCGCTTGGAGGCACGTGCGTCCTTGCGTACGGGATCATCATTTCTTTTGTGCTCTTTTTTTTTCACGCCAGAGAGCAAGCAATTTTTTTTTTGTACACTGATTTTCGCTCCCATTCAAAGACAACCTGATGAATTGTTGCTCCAAGAAAATCCTGGAACTTTATTTTTTCCATCGGAAGATCGTCAAGATTTTTTTTTTCGCTATACGTCTCCACAAAAAGTAATATTGAAGCGCCCATGCAAGATATTAAAAAAAATTTTTTCCCAACACTCCTTTTTTTTAATCAAACTTTAATGGCAAACAAAAAAGTACTGTCAAGTTCCAAGGCCCGAGTTTCATCTTCCGAAGAAAGATTTCATTGTCGTTAGCTCTCCATCTCGGTCACAATGATGATGGACAGTTGGTTCATTAGTCGATGAGCACAGGAAATAATAAAAAAAAAGAACGCGCGACTTCCTGACTCACGCGATAACTTTCGTCAGCACATGTACACGTACAAACACGCCTACTTCATTTTTCGGAAACACTAAGCTTCCTCTCGAGGATGTGGTGTAGGTCATGTAGATAACTGTAATTCGGTTATCGGTGTTGATTTTTCTATTTTCTATAAACCGCACACAATATAAGAGTTAAAAAAAAGCAACGAGCGAGCATTGATATGAACGCAAAACTGCTCTCTGCTCTTTTTTTTTTTTTTTTTTTTTTCATTGGCACGAGTAATTTTAAATTTTGTCCTCAGTACAGCCATCAAAAAAACACTAGCCTCGCACTTCTCATACAAATAGCCCGAAAACGTGGACTTTGCAAGAATGCAAATGTAGAGCCCCAGAGGAATCGGAATGTCCAACGGTGTTTTATATTCCAGTGGCAAAATAATCTTATCGTCCCTTTGCTTTGTGAATACTCTTTCGATTCGCTTCAAGCGACGTTTATCGAAGCGTTTATCTGGTATATCTACACGAGTAGGTACATGAATTTGCGTAATTGCCGATACATCCAAAGAGAGGTAAATATACATATTTTTTTTCTCCAAAATTCATACCAGTATGTTGCACACATTCAAATATTCGCTTGGTGATGGTCTAGCTGTTAGCTCCGATGAATTTCCGGTTTCGCCTTCCGGATCGGCCGGAAACGTTTCCTTATCTTACCATTCTATTAATAATATTACACATGCAAAACATAACATCACCGCAATCAAAACAAGATCTGAACTCTTATGAACATACTCAACAGCAAGTCTAATTACCATAACTCCACGTTCTTGTACGGTATAATAAACTAATTATACAGCTATAACAGACAGTCTCGGTCGGTAAATTACCGACCCTACTTGTAGATTAAAACAGACAGAGATGACGAAATAAGTGCACAGATAATAGTTTCCCGGAGACACATGTGTAGCGAGAGAAAGAGAGTACAGCGTTTAATAGGGTATATATAATATACATGCCTGTAGGCTTGATCGATAACCTATTTTTTCGGCGACTCACTGGCACGCTGCCAGGGAAATCCCCGGCGTGCCGGCTTATATACCCTTTGACGTAGCAAGAGTCAGGTAAATATATATATGTACAGTCCTCTGCTCCCGTTGATTTTATACCTACACGTGTATACTGAAGTGCTCTCTAAGGAAAAGGAAGATGAAACATGCATCGATGTGTATGCACGTGGCATAGGTAACGCGCAAGTGGAAGTCGAGTGCAACTGAAATGCCAGTTTTTTCCTTTTTCCCTTGCGAGTATCTTCGCGCTCTCGATTTCCGACTTTTCCCCTGTTTCTCTTAAACTTTCATATACACATTGCTCAAGAGCAAGTGCCACTGCGTGACTCGTACCTATACATACATAAAGTTTTCCGCTGTACTGTATACGTATGAGCTTTTTTTTTTTTTGGACTTTTTTTTAACACGCTTCGACAGGTTTGATTCAGTTTTTTTTTTTTTTTTTTTTTTTTTTTTTTTTCGGGCATTACGATTTTAAGTTATTCAATTACAGTGATTTTATCGAAGGATCCTTACTTTCTCGGTAAAAGTCGATCGATGGTATGTTAAAAAATTTAGACTGTAAAGATTGAAAAGTGGCTTTTTTAAACTATATTATTTCAATGGCAGTTATTACCTTGTAACTACGGCACGATTTTTACCTTTATTGTACCGCAGCTACTTGAAATAATTTCTGTAGTTCAAGTATCCCAAAATCACCGCAGTTTCACGGTAAAGATTTTAGTTATTTTTGCTGTACTGTTTTTATATTACTACGTAATTCGAAGAAGCCTAGTTTTTTAATTAAAATAGTTGGGAGGACTTTTTTTTTTCAAAATTCCTACAAAATTACATGGTATGCAGGGAAACGAGTTGAATTTGCCACCAGTAAGCGCAGACAAACAAGCGAACATTTAAGCGCTATCCAAGAAAAGAAAAAGAAAGTAAAAAGCAAAAAAAAAAAAAAAAAAAAAAATGGGAAAGAGCGAGAGTCACATCGTAGCGTGGCTCATTTGAATTTCAAGCTCGCCGGGTCTCTCTCGCGCGCGCAGAGGCACGCCAGGATCGGAGTTAATGTGCGCACTTGGCGAATAAATTGCTTTTCTCCTCTCTCTCTCTCTCTTTCTTTCTCCGCACTTTTAGCAGTCTCTTGGTGCACACCAACGAGACAATCAAGGTCGTGTGTCGCGAGCAGGCGCCTCCGAAGAATTTTCATTACGGCATTTTTTTTTTTTTTTTTTTTCAAAATTTCCATCCTTTAGCTTTCGGTTTCTAGAAAAAAAAAAAGATTTGCGATGTACAGGGCCATGGGAACTTTTCAGCGTGTCACTGGTCATTTTTGACGCTTTTGCAATGCAATAGAGTTGATAAAATTTTTCGGATTTCTCAGTAGCGGCTCGAGGAAAATTTCGAGCTGCAAAGGAGACACGTCGAATTTCATGGTTCACGAGAGGAAAAAAAAGCACGTGTCTCTCTATCCGCGTTCTCTCGGGTAATCGACCGGATTTGAAGAATGAAAAAAGAATAAAGAGAGCGTGAATCTGAGGAGAAATCGGGTATGTTAATACGTCCTAACAGTAGGTTGTTTTTTTCTAAATTATTTAAAGTGACCATAAAAAAAGGATTACAATAAATAATATTAAAAATGTTGCTACTGTAGAAGAGACTCAGTCGATAACTCTCGCGTGTTGACTTATCTCCTGTTTCTTTTTTTTTCTCTCGATCGGCCGGGTAGCACTGGGTGCACGCGACAGAGCATTAATATTAAATATACATATGTATATTTAAATTTTTTTTAAATGTATGATAAGCTCGAGTCAATCCGGAGGGATGCAAGGATGCTTATTCGGTTCGACGAAAAAACTTGTTGCAGGAGAGGAAAAAAAAGGTGATAACTATGGAAACAGAGTTAATAATGGAGGAAATTCTTTCTCTCGTCGAACAACTCTTTTTTTTTCTTCCTTTTACATTGATGAAAATCAGGGATATTTAAGAATGTTAATTTATAGTACCAACATAATATTTATTGTTTCTTGCATCCGTACAAAAATAAAATAATGTATTAATGCATGAATATCAAACATTGTCCTATTAGATCACACAATTAAAAATACACTTAAAAATTGTAAGACTAAAAAAATGTTATTCCCAATCGAATAAATAAAAATAAATATTGCAGTAAAGATGTTTGTGCGAGCGTACGAGACGAATTTTTGTCACTGGCTTTAAAAAGTCGAAATGAAGAAAAATTTTTCTCGCACCTACTGAATCACAATTCGACGGCACATCACGATCGTGGAGCATGAAATTTATGCGATGAGTGGCTGGTGCTGCGGCAGAAATGGAAGCTCCGTGTACCTGTCAAACGCCACTGTCATATTATATACTTTGGAGAGTTCGATTGATGCTTTGGTGCCCAATGTCTATATGCGCATATGTGCGAGTGACGCAAAGTGCCTAGGATGACGATGATGGTTAGTTGGAAAAATAATCAAGGGTAAACTCGAGAGATAATTCTTCATGAGACTGATTAAGTTTGCTAAACCACCACGATAGGATTAGCTTTTCTTTTCGTGTTTAACATTATATTTTTCTTTTAATGATCTGTGAAAATAACTGGTTTTTTAGAAATAATACATTGAAAATTGTTAGTAGCTGTCCTAATCAGAAATATGTCCAAGATAAGACAATCAGTTGCAACATTGTACTCTTGTTCTGTATAACTAATGGCTTAATATTTCCAACGATTTTAAATAAAAATGTAGTGAACAAGTAAAATTTATTCCGATGTTAACATTATTTCCTAGGCTTTCGAAATTATCAATACGAAGTCATTCTGTTGGAATAGGAAACTTTAGGAATTAAAATCCTTGTTTACACGAGAAACAACTGCGACTGCGCACCTCCACGGGGTTTTTTTTCATCTTCTTGCAGAACAAATTCTCCGGCTCGTGTTTCTATCTTTTTACCACTACTGCACTACCAAGACGGTATGGATTCGCATGTGAACTTTCAGGGTGCTGTTTTGACTAAATTTTTTCGGGCACATCGGGCATTGAAATGGTTTTTCGCCTGTGTGAGTCCGAAAGTGCCTTTTTAAGCTACTGGGATCGGTAAATACCTTTTGGCATATGGAGCATCGATCCCAAACTTTGCCCGTGGACGCTTCGTGGATGCGCATATGCCTTGCTAGATTGCCATTTTCTCTAAACGTTTTTTGACAGAACGAGCATTGAAATGGCTTTTTATCCGTGTGGGTAAGCATATGCTTTTTAAGATTACCGATCAAGGTGAATGGCCTTTGGCAGATGCTACAGTGATTACCTGGTATGCCAGTGTGGAGACGCATGTGACTTGTGAGTTGGTCTTCACGGCTAAAAGATTTTGGACAATCTGAGCATTCAAAGGGTTTTTCCCCAGTATGGATCACCTTGTGCTTTTTGAGATCACCAGAAGATGAAAAACCTTTTTGGCACACTGAGCACTCAAAGGGTTTCTCCCCCGTGTGGGTCCTCATGTGTTTTGTCAGATTACCGGAAAATGTAAAACCTTTTTGACACACTGAGCACTCAAAAGGTTTCTCCCCTGTATGGGTCCTCATGTGCACTTTAAGATTACTCGGGTTTATAAATGGCCTTTGGCAGATAGTACAGTGACAAGAAGGTATGCCAGTGTGGATGCGCATGTGTCTCGTGAGAATGGTTTTGCATCTAAAAGATTCTGGACACTTTGAGCACTCAAAGGGTTTCTCCCCTGTATGGGTCCTCATGTGTGATGTGAGTGTTGATTTGTGTCTAAAGCTTTGAGAACAAATTGAGCACTTGTAAGGTTTTTCCCCTGTATGGGTCCTCATGTGTAACACGAGGGAAAATTTAACCCTAAATTTCTGATAACAAATTGAGCACTCGAAGGATTTCTCCCCGGTATGGATCTTCATGTGCCTCATAAGATTGCTCAAGTCGGTAAATGGTCTCTGGCAGATAGTACAGCTACCACATGGTATGCCAGTGTGGACGCGCATATGATTTCTGAGGGTACTTTTTCGGCTAAAAAATTCAGAACAATTTGAACACTTGTAAGGTTTTTCCCCTGTATGGACCCTCGTGTGCCTTGTGAGGTCACTGGAAGTTACAAAACCTTTTTGGCACACTGAGCACTCAAAGGGTCTCTCCCCCGTATGGGTCCACATGTGCTTCGTCAGATTACCGGAAAATGTAAAACCTTTTTGACACACTGAGCACTCAAAAGGTTTCTCCCCTGTATGGGACCTCATGTGTGATGTGAGTGTTGATTTGTGTCTAAAGCTTTGAGAACAAATTGAGCACTTGTAAGGTTTTTCCCCTGTATGGGTCCTCATATGTATTGTGAGGTCATTGGAAGCTCTAAAACCTTTTTGACACACTGAGCACTCAAAGGGTTTCTCCCCTGTATGGGTCCTCATATGTATTGTGAGGTCATTGGAAGCTCTAAAACCTTTTTGACACACTGAGCACTCAAAGGGTTTCTCCCCCGTATGGGTCCTCATGTGTTTTGTCAGATTACCGGAAAATGTAAAACCTTTTTGACACACTGGACACTCGAAGGGTTTCTCCCCTGTATGGGTCCTCATATGAATTGTGAGGTCACTGGAAGATTTAAAACCTTTTTGACACATTGAGCACTCAAAGGGTTTCTCCCCTGTATGGGTCCTCATGTGCCTTGTGCGATCACTGGAAGATATAAATCCTTTTTGACACACTGAGCACTCAAAGGGTTTTTCCCCTGTATGGAGCCTCGTGTGCCTTGTGAGGTTACTGGAAGATGTGAAACCTTTTTGGCACACTAAGCACTCAAAGGGTTTCTCCCCCGTGTGAACAAGTTGGTGCGTCTTGAGTTTGAATAACGAGGTAAAAATTTTTCCACATGCGTCGCAAAGATGAATTTTCGAAAAGCTTCCACTAGATCCATTCTTGCAGTTGAAATTCTGTTTGCTGGCTTTCAACATAGTACTGGAAAATCGTGATGTATATGGAGTCACTCGTTTGTTGCTGTGAGTATCTTCGTTTACTTTCAGAAATTTATGAACAATGCTACAAGTATACTGTGATTCAATAATTAAGATGATACACCTGGAAAACGATTTTTTCGTTAACAAAGCAAATAGAACAACTGTATTACGTGAGGGATCGTGACTTATGTTTTTTATATTAATCTTTATAAATTTTATTTAAGTACTGTAATCATTATCCTACGTATTGAATGTTTAAAATTCGATTTCGCATGAAATTTTACTTTAAATTACAAAAATAGTAATTTTCAAAATAATTGAAGCGTTACATACTTAATCTGAAATATCTCATAACATAACCAGAACACTGACAGAAAATAGTCCTTGCATTTAATCCCGTAAGTCATAGCAATTACCTGTTATTGAATGTGGATTTAAATATAGGCATACGTTCTCAATCGTTAACAGTTAACGAATCAAGCATGTGGCAGTTAATATTGGAGGTTACAATTAAATATGGTAGTGACTCGAATTATGGCTAATGAATAATTCGCCCTTTCTATTCGGTGTATTTGATATTCTACTTCAAACATATTTTAGAGAAACTTTTTTTTTTTATCTCTGACTAATGAAAATTTTCTTGATATAGAAATTAATAATAAAAAAATACATACATTGCAATTTATTCACGCAAATTATTAAAAAAGTGTTTTTCCCCAGTTTATTAAAAATATTTGATAGTTTAGAAAAACTTACCGTTATACGCATAGATTTTTAGTAATTGGATTAGAGAAGATGTCCAAGCACACGTAAAATGGAACTCAAAATCTGTTCGATTATTTTTTAAACAGCAGTGGGCACTGATTCAGATGCTAACAAATTGATCAATTTTTTAATAAATTTATTTACTTCGTTTTTAAAATTGAGTTTTGAATACATTTAAATACTTACGTACTATTGGTGAGCATACGTTGTTCGTAAAATATTACTAATAATGTCTTGACACGGTATTATAAAATTGTACTTCCAGCAAATGCACGTGTGCACAGTCAAACACCAAAACAGACAATGTATGAACAATCGGTGAGACGATTTCTACACTCGTCTACTCGGCAAGTGAAGGATGATAATCGAAAAATAATGGCTTTTGGCTGAGGACGTATATAGTCGGGCGTAGTTTTCAGTGGTTATTGGCAACGCTGGCCTAACAAAAGCAATTACCAGCCAATGATATTGAGAACAAGCAAATTAACGTTGTGTTAGAAATACCGGAAAAAAAATTCAAATTATTCCAACAAACTTTTATTTGTAAGACTGATTAAGTTAACAAAACCACCACAATGGAATTAGGTTTTCTTTTACTGATTAACATTTTTTTTCTTTTAATGTTCAGTGAAAATAATTTGATTTTTAAAAGCTATGTATTTGAAAATTTTTTTATCTTCGATTTTAAATAGTCAAAACTAGTATCTCAACTAGTATCAGAAATATGTCCAACATAAGAGACAGTCAGTTGCAACATTGTACTCTGGTTCTGTATAGTTAAAATAAAAATGTCACGAACAAGTAAAATTTATTCCGGTGTTAATATTGTTTCTTAGGCTACTAAAATCATCGATGTAAAATTAATCCATCGAAATGGGAAATTTTAAGAAATAAAAATATTTGTAAGGAACATAAAAACACGTCTTCCATTAAATTAACCTCGTTTACAAGAGAAAAAACTGCGACTGCACACCTCCTAGGGCTTTTTTTTTTTTTTTTTTTTACTCTTTAACAGAACAAATTTTCCGGCTCGTGCTTTTATCTTTTTATTGCCACTACACTACCAAGGCTAGAATGTCTCTTTTACGCCCAGAGACATAACTTACATAAATTAGGATTACTAAATGTCTCAGTCTGGGAAAGTTTTATTGGATTATGGTTATATACAAGGGGGCGATTTTCACCAGCTAAAGGAAGATGAAGAGCAAATTGATGGGCAGGACGGCTCCACCAATTTATTTTTTGACGAAGACGAGCTGTGCACTGGGAATTTTTTTTTTAAAGATTTTGAGGGGGTGCCTCAATCATTCCAGCAATTATTATTTTATGAGTCACCTAAGTGTAGTTGACAGGATTTTAATTAGAAATTTGCATCAGTATATTTTCAAGATCAACCATATTCTTGAAAAGGAAACATTTTCTACTTTAATTGTTTTTGAACAAATTATACCAAAGCAACTCGGAATTCTTATCATGAGACACACCATCATCAAAGTAAACATAAAAATAAAAAATTCAAGCTCCCTCTGCCATTTCCACAGCTATTCCAGAGGTAATTACAAAAATTACAGCTACCACATCGGAGTAAATAACGAATTAGGTTAATTAAAATTAAAATTATTTCTTTCCCTCCCGGCGCTTCGTCGTCGAGTGTCCGTACGTATACATAATCCATAGGTATACGAAAGTGGTGGGATTACAAGTAATACCTGGGGCTCCCTCGGCAAAAGTCTGCGGAAAATTTATTCCACAGCGTTGTTTTTTAAATGTCGACAAGTAAGTTGTGCATAACAGGGCAGGGCCAACTTTGATTGGACGCGATCGCTGACGTATAATTTGAATAACGATGAGACGACCTTGTGCAAATATAAAGGAGATGTTGTAGGGAAAATTCGATTTATTTCACGAGTATTCATAAATTATTTGTGTTGACGTTTTCGATGAATAATTTAATATCCTTTTTCAATTTAGTCATTAATAAAGGCAAGGGTTTGAGCGATAAAAGCTCTTAATTTTGAGACATTTCGTGACAAAATACACGTGACTTCGCTCATTAAATCGATTTTTATTCGGTTTCAAAGAGTAAGGGACAGAAAAAGATACGATGTTCAAACTAGAACATGGGTGCTTGGTAAAATACTCCATTTTCTCTCGAAAATTTTTTTTTTTTGTTTCTAAATACTGATACCAAAGCGTTCTAAGTAGTTGAAAAAAATTTTAAATACTAGTTTATACTATTTAAAAAAAAAAAAAAGTTATTTTTTGATTATAGCACACTATTTTAGGTAGAAAATTCTTTGATATTTATAAGTGTTAACGCAAACTTAAATTTTTCCTACAAAGAAATGCACTGTAAAAAAAAATAATAATTTGAAAATCTATGAAATAGTTGTGCCTTAATAAGAGCGTAATTAATCCCTTCGCTGCGTTGGACCGGACCACTTCACCTTACTCTTTTTTAGACATTTTTCAGAAAAAATTACAGTTTAACATGTAAGCTCATGTATTATTAAGACGGAAGATGGTCTGTAGAAATTTTAAAACGTACAAAATTAAATATAATAAAGTACCTTTACTTTGTTCACTTGTAACATTTATATATTGTTTTTAAACATGAGCGATGATTATTGCTATAGATTATAAATATTAATTAGCATTAAGAAAAAAAATTTTTTTTTGTACTGAAGGCTTTTCTCCACTTATAAAAAATAAATCTCATTTCCTTCGACAAATCCACCAAAAACATTGTTCAATTTAAATACGGATAATTATCTACAAGTATAAAATCCTTGTGCATAATTATTATAACCAAAACGTCTAAATCTCAAGTATAGGCATGTATACGCATACAAATATGATACCTACAAGCGATAGATGGCAGAACTTTGCAACGTTGCTGCATGTTTGCGTCCCCTTCCTTCTCTAACAAAAATTTTCCCGTCAACTGTGATAAACGTCCTCCATCTACGATAAAATAAATCTCACCCTTAACATATTTTTCACAAACTTAGAAAAGAATAGTATAAACAGTATATAGGTAATACCGTAAGGTTGTGTTGTTGATGAAAATTCGCGTGCAAAGAAAAACGAGAATAACGAGTGCGACGAAAGCTTAGTGATGCGTGAGGTAACGACTACTTATACACGGAGTGACGAGGAACAAGACAAAACACTTATGTGACGAAGCGAGCTCCGCGGGGCAGCGTGAAAGTAGAACACGAGAACGGGAGTGTATGGGGTGGCTTGCTTGCTATATTACACGTGTACTTACACACGAAAAATGGGTGAACCCACGGTGCATAGCTGTGAGACATGAGATTGCGTTTCTAAGTAGTTCCCTCGATGTACGAGAATGATATTACATGGAGAACTTTTATAATCATCCTTAAGTTTTTCAAGATTCTCCGTCTGTCTATTATACATTTTTTTTTACTACGTATGAAGTAATGGAAATTGGGTTTTCAACATGTGAGAGACAGGGATCATATTGTCATACGAGATGTTACGTGTTATGAAATATCATAAAATGGAATACTTTATTATTATGAAATTTTATTTACGTGCATAGGATTGAAAAACGATACGACTCGTCACGCCATGTTTTTTCTGATTTGCTAAGTGCAGTTATCTGAAACAGCGCCACCTGAACAGGAAAAAAAGGCGATGCTGGATAACACGAATACAACTTTTACGTGCTACAAACTTTTTTAGTTTGATTTTTTAGTTTTAATGCATTTTTGATACTCAAAGTATGGATTTTCAGTGTGAGGAATTTGCATTAAAACTACAAAAAATAATTAAATAAGTTCGCAGCCAACAACAGGTTATGTAGCTGTGTTATTCATCATCGCCTCTTCTTGCCATGCAGGTGGCGTTGTTTTGGATTACTGCACTCAGCGAATGGGCGTCTTTCGTCGGTAATCTGTGACTCCTCTGAAAAGCTCGTCAACTTTTCTGTTGCAAATCAAGACCATAAATTCATCACACATCCTCTTAAAACATACAGGAATGATGTAAGTTTTAAAAAAGTCGTAGATTGTAGAAAAAACAGTGAATTTTCACTGTTAAACATAACCTCACTCTCTCACATCGAGAAATTTAAGTATCTCGAGTATCTGGAACATACCTATAAATATCTTAGTGCAGGTTGGACATTCCTGTGTCTGAATTAAAACGGCATCTTTATGCACGTACTCGAATATGTTTGTATATATACTTTGGTACGTAAAAAC